ATTGCTCTCAGGAAAAGAAATTCGTTTTAAACTGGAGTGTCTGGCTAAGCAGAACATGCTATTCTGTGAATGTGTGGCTGCTTAAACAATCTATCCTGTGCTGCCAACTCCGTGACCACCAGCTGCCTGGCTCTAACACAGGCCTGTGCCCGGAAGAGCACTGTCTGTTCTTTGGTACCCTCCACATAGCCAGGGCGCCGGGAGACCTGCTTCCCCTGGGGACAGGCCAGTGCCTCTGACTCAGCCCTTTTGCATCCGAGAATCCTCCTGCAAGCTGGTGTCCTGGAAGAATAACTGATGATATAAATAATAATAGCAAAGTAATATAGTGCTTCCTTGGTGTCAGCCACTGTTCTAAGCACCTTATCTATGTCAACTCCTTTAATTTTTGCAACAACCTTAAATAATAATAGTAAAATGATAATATAAGCAGGCAGTTGCATTATTATCATTTTGTAGATAGGAAACCTGAAGTTCAGAGAGGTTAAGTGCTGTACCCAAGGTCACACAGCTTGGAAGTGACTGGTGCAAAGATTCAAAAGCAGGCAGATAAGTTCTGGAATAGTGGGTTTTGGACTTAAGTCTCTACTCTGACATTGCCTGGCTCATCTCTGAGTGTCTCTGAGCCTCAGTTTACTCTTCTCTGAAATGGGAGTGACAGCACCTACCTTATTGGGTTACTGTAGGAAGCAAATGCAAGCGAGTCACAGAATGGCTCTGAAGTTGTAAAAGTACCATGTGAAGGTAAACGCTTGTGGTTTATTTTGATGTTTGGGGAAAGGACTGCTTCTCAGAAACTAGGTGCCTCTGTCTGCTCTGAAAATAGGGTATTGGACTGAGGGAAGGGAGGATCTCTGAGCAGGGAAAGCTCCAAGATCTCCACAAGAGGGGCCTGGAGGTGGAGTTAACCTGGTCGAGAGAGAGTGTTGTTAGGAGGATCATCCTGAAACTCAATTTGCTTGTCATTTGCATACTTCCATTGGGGCAGCTTAAGGATTATGAGTGATTTTTAATTTCTTATTTTGCTTTCCTAACTACATATTCTATCATGAAGACATTTTATTTTTGTCAACAGAAAAAAGTAATTAAAAATACATCCAGAGGCTAGAAGTCAGAGACCCTTTGCAGACATGCTTTTTTTCAACATGCCTCAGAGAAATGTAAGTGGAACACTATTGGCCCAGCTAAAGAAAGAAGGTGCTGTTTCCAGGGAAGACAAAGGCCCTGGGACTAAGGAGAAGGGGTGGCAATAAGGCCTTGGGGCTTTCCAGTCTCTATCTTAGCCAGGGTCTGGCCCAGTGGCCCATGAAGGGAACATCTCTTGGCTGGTGGTTGCAGGATGCGGGCAGGGGAATTTGAGGCTTGCTGGAAATTGTCTAGTCCAACATGTTCCAAACACTTCCTTGAATGAGACACTCATGCGTGGTCAGATAAGACAGGGCTGCCTCTCAGAGATTTATAAACTACATTAGTGACTTAAAGGCTCTGACAAGTCCTGCAATGAGAAGACCTGTTTATAATTTTGTTTTTACTGGTACCATATAAGACTCTGAACTCTCCTACTCCTGTTTCTAAATGCCTAGTAACCACTTGAAGTGCTTTGGTAAATTCTGATCTTGTCTACCTCTTCATAAGACCAACAGTAAAACTGAGGCTCCAGAGGCTGTGGGATTTGCTCAGGGTCACACCGCCAGAAGTAGATCCAGCCATCCTGGCTCAGAACCAGTCAGAGAGGCCTGACATTGAATCTCAGACACTGCCAGGGAGAAGTGGGTGATCTCAGGTGAGTTACTTTCTCTGGGCCTCGGTTTCCTTATCTGCATAATGGGGTTAACCTACCCACACTTCCTAGGAGGTCCTTATGAGGAACCACTGAGCCACCACATGTAGGCCTTTAGCACATACTTGTGGAGGAATGGATTTGTCATTATGTGGTACAGGTGGGAAAGTGGATCTGACTTCCAACTTCCTTGAAAATTGCTTTTTATTTATTTTTATTTTTTATATCTTTTGAGACAGAATTTCTTTCTTGTTGCCCAGGCTGGAATGCAGTGGCATGGTCTCGGCTCACTGCAACCTCCACCTCCTGGGTTCAAGCGATTCTCCTGCCTCAGACTCCTGAGTAGCTGAGATTACAGGTGCCTGCCACCATGCCCAGCTGATTTTTGTGTTTTTAGTAGAACAGGGTTTCACCATGTTGGCCAGGCTGGTCTCAAACTCCTGACCTCAAGTGATCCTCCCGCCTTGGCCTCCCAAAGTGCTACGATTACAGGCATGAGCCACCGCACTCGACCCGAAAGTTGCTTCTTAAATAGAGCGCCTGATATCAATTTTATTTTTTTAAACTCTTTCTTTGAAAGCACTTGTATGGACTCTCAGGGAATTTGGATTCTGTCCAGCCGATGTCACTAATTGTACATCTGAAAAGCTTTGTCTTAGTCTTATGTAAGCTCCCAATGACCCATTTTACAGATGCGGAAACTGAGACTGCATGACTCACCCAAAGCCTCTGGATTAGTAAAATACTTAGCTGAGATCTCAACATGGAGCTGCCAGACCCACCTGTTATGAAGCACCTACAAAAGAGGATGGTGAAAAGCCCTCCAGGCTGGACAGAGGGTCTCCTAGAGAGGCCACAGGGTAGGGAAGACCCTTGGACTTGGGCTGGAAGCATCTAAGAGCCTAATTAAAACAAGGACAGAAGGAATGGTGATAATCGTTCTGTTTACAGAATGCCAGCCAAGCACTATATTAGCTCCATTTTATAGACACTCTGCATATGTGATCATAGATAGTCTGTATATGTTTAATCTTTCCTACACTCTTGCAGGACAGATAGTATTATGATCCCCATTCTGCAGATAGGAGAAATGAGGCTCAGAGGGATGAGAAGACTTTCTTGTCCACATCCATCATGCTAGTGAACAGCAGTGCTGGGATCTGAACCCAGGTTTCAAAGAGAATCTATTATTCATTATTTATTGGGGCCTTCCTGGATGCCTGGCATTATAACAACAACGATGGCAATAATACTACTAATTCCTTGTGTTCCAGGTCGTAGAAATGTGAAAGGAAAATAAATCTTGGGGCCCCCAAATCGCTAAGCTAAAGGGAAAAGTCAAGCTGGGAACTGTTTAGGGCCAACCTACCCCCCATTCTATTCAAAGTCAGCCCTCTGCTCACTGACATAGATGCATAGCTGCTTGCCTTCTTTGGAAAGGCTAATCAGAAACTCAAAAGAACTATTTGTCTCTCAGCTACCTGTGACCTGGAAAACCTCTCCCTACTTCAGATCTTCCTGCCTTTGCTTCAAGTTGTCCTGCCTTTCCAGATGGAACCAATGTACTTCTTACATATATTGATTGATGTCTCATGTCTCTCTAACATGTGTAAAACTGAGCTGTGCCCAGACCACCTTGGGCATGTGACAGGAGGACTTCCTGAGGTTGTGTCATGGGCATGTCCTCAGCCTGGGCAAAATAAACTTCCTAAATGAACTGAGATATGTCTCAGATTTTCTGGGTTCACAGGTAGGTACACATTGTACAGCATCACCTCATTTAATACAACAATCTTTACGGTATAACCATTTGAACCCTAATTTCCAGATGAGGAAACAAAACAAGCACAAAGATGTAAAGTAATTTGCACATCCTGCTGGTTAGAGTTGGAGCCAGTTTCGGAACTCGTGCCTGGCTCCCAGCCAACTCAGAGATCTGGCTGACCCTGTCAGCAGCACGTGGCCCCAGCAAGTCTCCCAGCCCACCACACCCGCTGGAGCCTCTGATGTTTATAATTCTGCCATGACTGGCTTGAAACTCCCCCTGAACATTGCCGGGGCTTGTTCCTGCCCAGCCTGTGTTTGCAATGGCTTTGACTGATTTTCTGGAAGGCAAGCCTCTGCCGGGAACACATTCTTTTTAATGGAGCGGGAGGGAAGGAAAAGAAAGCTTTTTCTGCTGCCCAGCTTAACAGGGGCTGAGCTTCCTGTCTTCTCTCTTTCTTCCCCCTTGTATGTTTCTTTCTCCCAGGGTGGGATGTGGCTGTGAGAGCCCTGAGCCTAAAGCTGTGGATAGGCCCAGTCCCTACTCCACTCCTATTGCTGACTCATGGCATGACTGTGAACAAGTCCCACCTAGGCCTCAGCCTCCTCAACTGCAAGATGGGCCTAGACACCCCTGCTACTCTGGACTTGACTGAGGGTGATTTTGGGGAAGAAGTATAAGAATGTCAGCCCAGCCCTTGGCACCTAGCAGGTGCTCAGTAAATCATTCCTTCTTTCTGGCCTCCTAATTCCCAGACAGCCTGAGTCTGAATCTTTGATGCCCTTGAACAAGTTACATTAATCTCTCCATACCTCAGTTTCCTCATCTGCAAAAAAATAAGAAGATAAACAGTACCCACCTCCTCTGGTGTTTGTGTTAGCTGAGATATGATAGGCAACAGTATTTAGCAAAGTGCTGAGCACATAGTTAGCACTCAGAGTTACCAGTTAGTGTTACTACAATTACTGGTAAGCCTCAGTTTCCTTGTCTGGGACAAGGAGAGGTGTTTCACTGGAAACCAGTTGTGGATATTAACACTATCATTGCTCAGCCTTAACGTGAACTTCTAGACCCTGTGTTGTGATGCTGGAGTGCATGAAATCCCATTTCTTCTTTGTTTTTTAATTTTTTGGTATCTGTTTAACCTGTTCTTTATATTAAATGCCCTCTGTCAAAATACCCAACGTGGTTTCTATTTTCCTGTCTGTACTCTGATTGATCAGCACCCAAAGGCCCCAGTAGCTGAGTCAGGCAGGTTAAGATCTCTGCTGGGAGCTGGGAGAGAAGTTTTCCATAAAGATAACTTTGCGGGCTGCATTCCTGAGCCCTGAGGTCACCTGTGTCACACTGTCCCAGCGTCTGCTCTCAGGAAACTTTTCTCCTGGCTATTCCCAGGGCTGAGGCCTACTCCCCCGCCCCACCCCCCCTCCCGCCGACCTCCTACCCCTGACTTACCAGACACCTCCACATATCCATCTTTGGTCTTCACCATCAACTCCTCTGGCTTGAAGCTGTGCACATTCACACACACTTTCCAGGGCTCCCCAGGGAAGGGCGGGGGGGTCCGGCCCTCGGCAGGTACCCCAAACCTGGCGGTGGCAGTGGGGCCCCGGGGCACCATGCCAGACCTTAGGGTGCCTGGCCAGGCGGAGGAGAGACGAGGCAGAGCCCAGTCGGGCCAAGAGGCCGTCAAGTCGTCTGGGAAGGGGTCCATGCCAAAGCCATCATCCAGCAGGCGAGAGGAGAGGGGAGAGTCCCGGAAGGGGTCTCGGCGCAGGCGGCTTGGGTAGTGGCAGGAGAAGGGCATCTGACCATCAGCCATGGTGGCTGCTGAGCTCAGAGGGAAACAGAGGCTCAGAGAGACAGAACCACCTGCCCAAGGTCACTCAACAAGGTGGTGTGGCTGGGCTAGCTTATTCTTCAGCTTCCGAAAATGCTGCTTTTCTGCAGGGAGAAGCAGAACCAACCACTGCCAGGGACGGTTGTGCCCCCTCGGCTGGGGTCCCAGACCCCAAAGGTGACCCCCAGGCAGGTCCAGCAGAATCCCAGAGGGCCCCTCTCCGCACTGCCTCACGACAGACCAGCAAGCCACCGTCCTCCCAGGCTGCCCAGGCAGGCAGCCAGAGCCGCTGAGGTCTAGAGCGGAGCCAGGAGCTTAATAAACCCAGGGCACACGCGCCTAGAACTTCTTCTGGCTCCTCCTGGGCTGCAAGCCTTCTATTTATTTGCTGCTGGAGACTGGAGGCGGGTTTTGCAAGCGTCTCCTGTCACAGGAATATTCGGAGGTGATGAACCAGCCCCGGAGAATCCGCGGAGGGAACAGCTGGACTGTGGGGGGAGCTGGGAGGGGCCGCGTCCAAGTTCAACCAGCCTCTCTGGACACTCTCTCCTCCCCTGGCCACTCCGCTCAGCTCCGCCCTCCGCTTGCTCCCGGCGCTGGAGCCGCCCTCCCGGAGAGGCGCACTAAGGCCTGGCTATTAATAACCCCTAGCCTGGCTGAGGGCTCAGGTCACCCTCTGGAAATACCTTCCCCAGAGCGTGTCGTATCCTGCCTTTCCCCTGGGGACCTGCAGAAAGGGAAGAGAGAGACATTAGCCCAGTGGATTTGAAGGATGTCCCTGGGTTGGAATCCCCAGTTACAAGGTGGCCAAGCTCCTAAAGCCTCAACGCCCTCTGGGGAGAGCGGTAAAGAAAAAACAAAAAATTATACATATATATATATATGTATTCATATGACACTTGTCAAAGTATGATAAGCAAGACTTTACTGGGCAGGGAAACTTTCTCCATAGATGTAAGGACCCCCGCAATGGGATTTTGCAGTGAGGGAGAAAGATTAGATTTGATTCCCAGTAGGTCATAGGTAAGTGGGAATTTGTAGGCAAGAAGCAGGTGGGGTGGGGGTGGGATCAGCGAATGGAAAATTACTAGGAGGAAAGTCCAGGGATCAGAGGGATTCAGGCTCAGCTAACCTAAGAGGATGCTTGCTGAAGACAGGCCAGGGTGCTCAGACGTCATCTGGGGGATGGTGGAGGATGAGGAAACTAATCAGATATCGAGGGTGATCAGACATCGAAGATGGGTGATTGCTGCTAAACAGACTTAGCAGAGTTCACGCCAAAACTGAATTTTTCTTTCTTTCTTTCTTTCTTTTTTTTTTTTTTTTTTTTTTTTAGACGGAGTCTCACTCTGTGCCCTAGGCTAGAGTACAGTTGTGCCATTTCGACTCACTGCAACCTCTGCCTCCCAGGTTCAAGCGATTCTCCTGCCTCAGCCTCCCGAGTAGCTGGGATTACAGGCACCGCCATCATGCCCAGCTAATTTTTGTATATTTTAGTAGAAATGGGTTTCACTAAAACCCATTTTGGCCAGGCTGGTCTTGAACTCCTGACCTCATGATCCACCTGCCTCGGCCTCCCAAAGTGCTGGGATTACAGGCATGAGCCTCCTCGCCTGGCCCAAAACTGAATTTTTATAAGGAACCTCACAGATGGGCTTAGGAGAAGATTCAGAAATCTGATTAATGTTTGGTCAAGCAAAGCATCTTTATAGGCAGTAACATTATTCCCAGGCACCTCCAAATTGTCAGTTTTCCTCCTTATAAATGGATGTAACAGTAGTCAATTCACAGATGTGCCATGAGGAATACATGAGGTAATTCTCTTTCAGCACCTAGCAGTCTGATGGGCACCTTTGTAGTTTCCATTTTGAGTTATCGATTACATAATGTTTGCTACATGCCAGGCCCTGCTCTATGGGCTTTATAAATATGAACTCATTTAATCCTCAGCAGCAATCCTGTGAGGTAAGGGTACCAGTATTATCCCATTTTACAGATGAGAAAACTACCATAGAAGTGTTCATGAATAGTAGCTTCTGTTATTATTATGACTGTTAATACTGATAATTATTGAAAAGTAGTATACTCAAGCAGGATGTCTGGTCTGAAACTCAAAGCCCCAAATCTAGACTTTCCTGCTCTAACCACACAGCTGGAAGAATGAATTTACAAATCCTCCTTTGGGCCAGAGGCCTCTTCGGCTTTGGTTCTAATCTTTGATCTGTCCGCAACAGGTAGACAATTTTCAGCATGTCGTTTTCCCTCTGTGGGCTTTCGGGTCTCAGCCCTGCCTTCTTCACGAGATGAGGGTAAGTTGAGGATATTAAGGAATTCGGTGAGTCATAGGTTGAGAAATTGTTTTGATATTAAACAGTGTTTGCATGAGGCAGTTTGCTAAAAATAATAATATGGAGAAAAACAATCACTGTCACCCATTGCCTCCTGTGCATCTGCTTTTAGAGTTAGTATATTTCAGACATTACTGAGTTAAACCCTCACTCAATAGTTAAGTGTCACTATTATCATCACCCCCATTTTGCAGGTGAAAAAACAGAGGCACAGAGCCTTGGCCCTTGCACACAGATATGGAGTGGCAGAGCCTGGATGGGAACCTGGGTTGTTCTGAATCCCGGATCTGTGCTTAACCGACAGACAGAGACCCCTGCCCTCCTCCCCAGCTGAGAAAGAATGGTCGGGACTCCACGGCATGACATGTCCCGAGTGACTGGGCCCCCGCTGGATGTGGGGTGAGCTCATCAGGCTGGAAGCTTCGGGCTGACGTCATGGCTGGGCACAGAAGCCTCCGCTTTCTCTGTAATTACAGCTGGGCGGGGCCGGCTGAGTTGGAAACCAGTTGTGGGGAGAATCACTGCATGCCGCATGACGCACCAGAGAAACCTGGCCCTGCCTGGGACCTGGGCAGGGGCTGGGGTGAGGTTTCTGAGTGCGTGGGACAGGGTGGAATGAGTTTGTGTGTGGATTTGAGTGGGTGCAGGGGTGAGTGTGTGTTTATGTGCCGATGGGGCTGTGTTTATTTATTGGCGAGTCTGCTGGTGGGGTATGTTCGGGAAGAAACTCCCCTCCTTCTCCCTTTCCAGGCCATCCCCAAACCTCCAGAGGACCCCTCTGCCTAAAACGTGGCTTAGTTGGTACCAGGGGACCCAGAAGGAGGGGAAGCCTGGCGAAGGAGCAGGGAACTGAACCGTGATGACCTAATCCACCTTCTCATTTCAAGGATGAGGGGGAGGAGAGAGAGGATGCAAAGGTAGAAAATAGAAATAACAATCATTAGCATTTATGGGGCACTTGCCCCATGCCAGTTTCTGTTCTGAGCACTTTAAATGTATGTGCCTAAAACTCTTGTACTTCTCGCCACAATCCTACTAGGAAGGATGTTTTATTTATTTATTTATTTATTTATTTATTTATTTATTTAGAGGTGGAGTTTCACTCTTGTTGCCCAGGCTGGAGTGCAATGGCATGATCTTGGCTCACTGCAACCTCTGCCTCCCTCCCGGGTTCAAGTGATTCTCATGCCTCAGCCTCCGGAGTAGCTGGGATTACAGGCACCTGCCACCACACCTGGCTAATTTTTGTATTTTTAGTAGAGATGGAGTTTCACCGTGTTGGTCAGGCTGGTCTCAAACTCTGGACCTCAGGTGATCCACCCCCTCGGCCTCCCAAATTGCTGGGATTACAGGCATGAGCCACCATGACTGTCAGGAATGATGTTTTATTAAACACATTTTAGAGATGAGGAAACTAAGGCACAGAGAGATTACCTGACATGCCTATGTCAGTGGCAGAGCTGGGATTCGAACCTGGGCAGTTTGGTTCTTGTCTCATCTGCTACACTGCCTCTGAAGTCAAAGTCATGGCTCACATTTATTGAACACTAACCATGCACCCAGCCCTGTGATCAACAGTTTTATCCATGACCTCATGGAATCCTTGTGGTTCAGAGAGGTGAAGCCACCAAGGATTGGAATCCAAGTCAGGGGGACTTGGGAGTGCACGGTAATAACCGGTATGAGACAATATTGGTCAAGCCTTACCCAGCGATCCTTCCACACTACCTGGTGTCCTGTTCCCCTTTGGGCTCCCATTGCATTTCTGGATCCAGCAAGCCCTTCATGTCAGGACGCTGAGGAGGGAGGCAGCTGCTCCTGCTAACTCGGCCACCTGGTGAGGAGTCAGCTAACACACGAGGAAAGTAGTCACTAAACCCCATGGGCTGTCACCAATCAGGTGAAAATATGACGCCAGGCTCAGGAGAGGCCCGGGAAAAGGGGGGGCCTCCAAGCTGGTTACACCAGGGAAGAAGAGACCTTAGAGGGTACTGTGGTGCAGGGTATGGACGTTAGATCCTGGGAACCAGAGCATTGTTCTCTTGGATGCCATCCTCTTAGAGCTTTCATATGGGGCATACCACTATTAATTCTCAAAACAGCCCAGGAGGAGGATATCACCCTGCATGTGCAAAACTGGGGGGAAGTGGTGGTCTGAAGCTAGGACCAAGTAGGACAAAGACACAGCTGCCAGATTCTGTGCCTTTTCTTTTCAGTGTAGTAAGAAACAAAAGTTCCCACCCTCCCCTAGGGGATTCCAGCCCCCAGCCCTCCCCAGGGTCTGAAGACCCGTCTCAGAGTTGGTTCTTTTGGGTGGCCCTGGATCCCAGCACATCCTCCAGAAAATAGGAAGTAAGCATGCTCATGCCTTTTTATTTCTTTCGTTTCTCAGACTCCCCTACGATGACACTAACGGAATTTCCAGCACACTTGGCTCCATACAGCAGGAACCTTGGATGTCCTGTTCATAGCGGCATCCCCAGCACCTAGAGGGTGCCTGCTGCACTGTGGAAGCCCAGCATATCTTGGATGAGTATATGATGTCATATCAGCAACCCTGGGTCTGAATTGCCTAGCTCCCACTGGGTAGACTCTACATGCAGTAACAGCATCAGAATATTAACTAATATTTCTGCAGTCCATAGAAGGTGCCAGGCACCAAGGCTTCCCAAGCATGCTCTTTTTAATTTTCATCACCGCCCCCTGGAGATTTTATGCTATCATTATTCCCTTTTTACAGATAAGGAAACTGAGGCGCAAGACATGAAGTGACCTGCCCGAGGCCTCCAGCTTATGGATTCTGAACTTAGGTTTGTCTGAACTTCAAGCCCAGGCCTCTTTTCTCTGCCGCACACCCCA